GGCTAGGCCTTACAGCGAGCTGCTGCGAAGCAAGAAAAAAAAAGTTGACGTTGCTGACATTCAGTCAGTCACCTATAGCATCTGGTCTGGAATGCTTGAGAAAAACGTCAGTGCTGCATTTTTTTTTCTGCCGCAGCGCCGGTCCTCAAGTAGTTTCGATCACAACCGAGCAGCCCAATATGCTTGGATGCCATGAAGATCTATATTCTTTCATTCTCGATACCGAGAACAGAACTGAGAATGTGTTGGAAATTCTAAAAAGTTCATTGACTCAAAGCAGACGTGTGATGAGGACTATATGTTGCCTGAAGGTCTGTGGCCGTTGATATCTGGCCCAAAGTGTTCTTTAGGGCTCGACTGCTCAGTGGATAACTTCCGTTTCACCAGTAGGTTCAGAAAATCATAAATGAGCGGGGCTTTCTCGACAAGCGGGAAAAAGCATTCGCTAACGTTCAAGACTGATCCATGAGCTGTGAGTGTTGTATGCATGTTTTCAACTAATTATCCAGTTTTAGGTGGTGAAATCACGCACCCTTCGAGTAATTCGATCTCCTGAACCTGGTTTGGTTCACATCTACCATCCGATACATTGTCCTGAAACAATGCCACAAGCTCAGCGGCACATGTGCCATGGCTCAAAAGCGGCTAGTTTAGCATCAATCGATGCGTTAGTAGATCAGATATCGCATTATACATGATGAACGCGACACTACGGTAGGTTACCATTGTCATGATCATTTGTTACATCCTCACACTTTGTTAGTGTTTTCCTTTTGTGAATGTCTTTCCGAATTGTTGTTATGTTGTTGTGTATTAGAATAACTCATGTATCTCTGACTCGGATTTCCTTTCAATTCCCATCAACTCTGTAATACAATATACTCAGTATTATGACTTAGTACTGATAACATTGGTGCCGTACAATGCTTTCCGGCCATATCAGTCCCCGTTCAAGCCATTCCATGATGACATTGTTATCCATTCTATGGGCACTCACATTCTTATGTTTGATATTTCCTTGTATTCCATATGTACGACGGGAGAAGCGTGAATCTTGCTGATCATGGAAGATCCTTGAAGAAAAACTGTGTTGTCTATCTTCTTGTTCAGCTCGATCCATCGTTATCACTATAGTATAGTGCTTAATATGCGCAGCATTTTTTTAAATGGGTGAACACGCGGCATTTCAAGCCATATTTCGTCGTCTTCGTTGTACGCGCTAGCTTTACCTGTATCTTTCATTCTCTTCTCATAATCATCACCACCGTCATCTCTATCTTACCACAATGCTTTTTGTATCGTCCTTACATTTCACTCGAGCAGCTCGATATCATATTCAATTTAGAATAATTGTATTTTGCATTTCATCGCCAAAGTTCCTCACACTGGCATTTTTCCATTAATCCTTTGCACAATACGATGTCATTTATAGATTTCAATGGCATTTCAAATTGTCTCACTTGATCGGTGCTTTTATCGTGTGTATCGTGTATCATCATTATCATGATGTGTGTCTCATCGCTCACTGTTATCTTGCCTTTTCACCTATCTCGCCAAAGTGTCTTGTCAGCTAGTAGATTTTATTGATTGAATTGAATGATCTTTTAATAAGATATGTTTTACATTGGTGATGATAGTGTTTCATTTAAAGGTCATCTCACAACTCCTTTACGTATTTAAGTTAGAGCATAACTACCCATATGACAGGCAACATTACTATTAACAAAGATCCGAGAAACATTCCAGAAGTAACTCTACCCATACGTTGATCACCACATGAAACGTTGCTTAACACCGGGCTCATGAGCCCATTCGAAAGGTTTGAAAATGAATAGCAAGAAAACCGCTAGAAAAACAAAGAACTGCGATAGGAGCTCAACTATGATTATAAACTTATTTGATGATGTTTTGGCTGATAATCTCCATAGAACGAATGGTACGATGAAATAACGAGGCTCTATTAAATGAGCTGGCACAACCACAGCAAAAGAACACAAAACAAAAAGTATCCGTACAAATGGAGAAAGATGATTAGAAAGATCACGTATGAAAACAAAAGATCCAACGAATAGAGGAGTTAAAACTACACGTCGAACAGGATCTGCGAGCCACCATCGCCATAGGTAGAATGTCACATGGCGATTGTCAGCGAGAAGATAAGGATGATCAAAAGCAAAGTAATGAGCGGATAAAGCGACGGGAATAGCAAGTAACCCGGAAAGCGGGTGAAAGAATTTTGCAAGCAGACTACGAAGACGAGGGATAACTTGAGGCCATGCATGTACACATGAAAACAGTGCAAGGTAAAGAAATTGCGCTAAATGAAGACGAGGATGATGAGCGGTGGGATCACCGAGAACAATTCCTCCGTTTATATACACAAAAACAGCAAAAGAAAAAGCGAGGACGATAAACGAGGAAAGTTTTAAAAAGGAGGACACTGCTGAAGAAATAGGACGAGACATGTCAACACTGCGAACGAGACGTGCTGCTGCGCTGAATCCTGCCCACACTATGTTCGTCTGACGAGTCAGAACACTTACTGCAAAAGTGAGCGACGAAAGCAAAGAGGAGTCCAATGTGAATCCCCAACTGACAGCGCTTACTGAGAGCAAATCTGTGTAGTACAGCACTGAAGAGTGAAGTAACACCTGAACAAGTAAGCAATAAAAGTTACATCGAAGGTGCATACAAAATATGAGTGTACTTGGTAAGAATAAAAGACACTCTCAAGCCCGCAAAAAAACCGAGCCAAAAGCTTGAATATTTGACTTTCGAAATTGTATACTCCAACATCGAGGAGAACTGACTTTAACGAGTTTCACTAGTTTGCTTTGATATCAGTTGAAGTTATAGTAAAACAAGTAGTAACAATAAGAAAGCTATAGAGGATCCGACTTTTACTGAAAACCAAACGACACCACTTGATCAGGAAGATTTGCCTGAAAGAGTACTCAACCCAAAACGAATTTAACGTACAGGGAACAAAAGAATAGCTGTCGCCGATGAATGTACGGCATCTTCGTGGAACAGTCTTCGGAAGCGGCAAAAACCGACGAATGCAATTGCGATGAGTACACTGTTTGTATACCTCTCGAAACCACAAAACGGCATACCCAAAATATATAATGCTGGTGGAGTAGTAATCATGGGATCCCAACTCCAATTACCAGAGCAATATCTGAACAACTTTACTTTAACTGAGATTACATAAAAATTTGTCTAAGGCATGAATATTGGAAAAAGTACTCACTTTCTAGTTTGCCTAACATGAAAAATCTCATCCATGTAGGGCTCCGGAACATAGCGGTACGCGACTGTTACCAACAATGCGTGTAATAATGCGAGTACCCCAGCGAACAACCAGTCTACAACGTTAGTCTCATGCTTCTAAGCACAATTCAACACATGAAAGAGGAGATAACCAGACTCGTTTCATAACTTCCTCAGGCAAGAACCTGTTTTTAAATACCTGTCCTTCGGCTCACCCTAGCTGATAATTCAATGCACTACCACACTTAAATGAGGCAGACTTTCAGTTTGATGGAAATTTTCAATAGTGTATTCCTAAGTAGTAGCTATAAAAGAACTAAAACATCAGATTAACTATTTGACGACAATGCGGATTTCGACGTGACGCGCCCATTGGACCACGTTCCCCGCCTTACGCGCGCGACTGCCACCCACCGGTAAGTGGCACTGTACCATGATAAAAATTTTCACTGGCTTACTGAATTTAGCATTTGATAAGAAACAGGAAAGTATGGTGGCACCCGAATTGGGTGCCAATGTCCCATGCGCCAGTCATAGTGGCACCTATCGGTGGGTGCCATTGTCGTCAAAGGCTTAATTGTACAGCGATGTGAATACGATCATTGAATTAAACGCTATTCCTCACAAACAAATAAAGTCTCGAAGAACTGCGTGCGTGTAAGAACATTATCATACAAAAAATAAAGAAGGAAATGTAGACTGAAGTACGATGGAACACACCTTTACTGAGTTGGCTGGGCTGCGGTGAGAACCTCCGATCCGAAGTGAGCATTAAAATGTAGCAACCGACAGGTCTGATTCTTAAAACGAAAAGGTGTCGCGACAGAAAATACGGGTGATAGCCTAAATGTACCTTCACAACAGGGAGGGGCTGTAGTGTTCAGGAATCCCAGAATGTGGTTCCGGGAATTTGTTAAAACTAATACGAGGAAGAGAACTGTGGTATATACATGACTGGCCCAAATAATTATAAAGAGATTGACGCGAAAAATCATACTCACCACCATAAAAGCTCTTCCGC